CACCAACCCTTCACCCTTCCCAGCATCATGTCCCTCTCCCAAGGAATGGCACCTCCTAGCAACCTGTCCAGTGTACGTGAGGCGAGACCTCATCATTCTTGCCTCCAAAAAGCACTCCAGCTGCACCCTCTCCAAGACATAACTCTTTGTTCTCTTGGCCATCCATTGGATGTTCAGTGCTCTTCTCCTACACCACACCTCAAAGATGTAAATTCTTTTTCTGTCATCCTTATTCATTGTCCATTTCTTGGATGCATTGCTAGTAATCAGAAAGGCTGTCGCCTAAATCAGATACACCTTAGTTCTCAAACCGACATCACTACTCCTCAATAATTTGGAAAAGTCTCTAACTGCAGATTTTCTCAGTTCAATATGTCTCATTTCCTGACTGCTCACTCCAAGCGTGTTAATTGTGGACCCAAGCAAGATAAAGCTGTTTATAGATTGAATCCCCTCTCCATTCATCATGACACTGCCAATTGGACTAGATAGAAAGACTCAAAACAGTGAAAATGACAGTCCTACCAAAAGCAATCTATGTGTTTAACACAATTTCAATACAGATACCAAACTAAATTTTAAAAGAGACAGAAAGGCAATTGTAAAGTTTATTTGGAGAAGAAAGAGACTCCTTACTAAACAAAGCACATTTAAAAACAAAAGCGAAGGAGGGGTGACCATAGCACTCCCTTATCTGAAAACCTACTAACAGCTTTAAAAACCAAAACAGTATAGTGCTGGTAAAATGACAGACACATAGACTAATGGAACAAAACTGAGACCTTAAAAATTAACTTATCTACCTATGATCAAATGGTATTCAACAAAGAAACAAAATCTATCAAACAAGCAAATAACAACCTCTTCAACAAATGGTGCTGGCAAAACTAGACATCTACCTGCATAAAACTGAAGCACATTCCACACCTCATACCATAAATAAAAAAACAACTCAAGGTAGATTAGAGACTGAAGGGTAAGGCCCAATACCTTAAAGATCATAAGAGACAAAATGGGATCAAACTTAAAAGCACTAGCTTATGGTATAAGCAGGCTGGCAAATATACCCACAATTGCACAAGGAGAAGATAACATTGATGAATGGGACCTTCTAAAGATTGGGTGCATCAAAAGCTTTTTCCAACAGGATAAAAAGAAAACCTAGTAAGGAGGGGTAGGGGACCCCTTTTGCCAATGACTTTTCAGACAAAGATCTCATAACGAAAGCTTACAGAATATTACAGTGCCTCCACCAAAAACAATAAAAAAAATGCTAACAACCCTACTTAAAAATGGGCCAAAGACATGCAACAACCTTTTACAGAAGAATGCATTTGGATGACAAATAGACACGGGGGGGGGGGGGAATGCTCAAAATCACTGGCAATAAGAGACATGCAAATTAAAACCAAATGAGATACCACCTCAGCCCAGTAGCAGTGGAAAAGTTTAACAAGACAGAAGTAATAAATGTTGCAGAGGATGTGAAGATATCGGAATGCTCACACATTATTGGTGAGATTGTAAAATGTTACAACAACTCTGGAAGTCAGTTTGGTGTTTCCTCAAAAAGCTAAACATAGAAATTCCATATGATCCAGTAATCCCACTGCTAGGAATATAGCCCAAGGAAAATAGGACTACCCACAAACTAAGATTTGCAAACCTATGTTCATAGCCAGTCACTCACAATAGTAAGAAAATAGAAACAGCTTAAATGTCAATCAACAAATGAGTAGATTGAGAAATTGTGGTAAATTCACATGAAATATTTTGTAACATTCAAGAGCAATGATTAAAAATATATATAACATGGAAGAGATTAGAGAGCACTTTTCAGAGTTAACAACTCAGTTTCATAAGAACAAACACTGCAATACGACTATTGTAAAAATAGAAAAATAACTAGTTAGATACATAAAAAAGGTCCAAAGGGAGAAGGGAATAGGGCAGGAGGCTGAGGAGGGTGAGGGGAGAAAATTACAGGGTCACAGAGCTTGGTGGGTGAAGGGAGGAGGTGAAGAAGGAATTAGGAAAAATCCAGTGGGTATCTGAAAGATAAGGGAATGGTAAGCATAGATGAATGGTGGCTAATTTTCGAAACACAAGTGGGAATAATCATATGTAACACAATGTGAATGAAAGAATGTGTGAAACGTAATGTATATGAATGAAGAACAGTATATCTGAATTTTGTATGTGACTCAAGATAAAATAAAGAAAAAAGGGTCCTCTGGGGACACAAGAGATATGATTATATTCTGGCAGTTCAAATTCAACAGGAACACCTTGAGGAAAGATGAACATGCCCCTCCTACTTGATTTACCGTGATGGAAATGTAATGGAGGTTCAGCTATGAGTTGATTTTGATTCAACAACAATAAAAATACATTTAAAAAATGGCTATAGTGTGAGACATCATTCTTTGATTTTATATACTGATGTGAGAAATTCATAGAAAAAAATGTAAACACAAACTACATAAATCTTGTAGATTGCAAAGTGAAAAGATAAAAGAGTGAATGATTTAGAAATTGTTTTGACTTTCTGCTTTACTATTATGCCATAAACTGTCCACTGGTGCCCTATTGTAAAAAAAACAAATCAATAGCCTCTTACCAAATGTTTCAAATACAGCATCAATCTTTGGCTCAATTCCTGGAAAGTCCTCAGTTATTAGTCTGGGGAAGCCTTGATCCATGGACTGGCTATTCTCATCAAATCTGCAACAAAAGAAATACAGCTTAGTATTTATGTGAACCCCTTATTACCTACAAGTATAAAATTACATCAATATCCCAACGTGAAATGCTGGATAATCTTTTCAAGTGGTACAAAGGTCTACAATAATTATTACTGTCCATGGCTTATTAAACTCAGCACTTAAAACTGTATTTTCCCAAAAACAGAAATATCTTGCCATTCTAGAAAGTCCGAACACATGTCTGAAGTCAGTTTTCCAAGTCTGAATGTTACAAAATGTATTTGTGGCCCTTTTAGTAAAAAATATATCAGGACTGTGTTCTGTGTTACACTGGTAATCAAAACATAAAATCTACCAACTGCTCTACAGGAGCAAGATGGGAAGTCTCACAAACTTGATGTGTAATTGTAAGTTGGAATTAACTCACAGACAGTGGGCTTAGTTTTGGGGTTGTGTGTACATACAGGACCACAATGAAATACCATCTCACTCCAGTGGCAGTGCAAAGTTTAGTAGGGCAGCAAGTAGTAAATGTTGGAGGGAGCAGGGAGAGGTGGGAACTCTAATACACTGTTGGTGGGATTGTAAAGTGGTGCAACCACAGTAGAAGACTAGGTGTCTTCTCAAAAAGTTGAAAATACAAACTCCGTATGACCCAGCTATTCCACTATTAGGAATACACCCCAAGGAAATTAGAACTGAGACACAAATGGATATTTGCATGCCAATGTTTATATCAGCATTATTGGCCATCACAAGAAAATGGAAACAGCCCAAATGTCCAACCACAACAGAATGGATTGAGCAATTGTGGTACATTCACACAATCGAATACTATACAGCACTCAGGAACAATGATTTTGAAAAATACTATGTAACTTGGGAGAGACTGGAGAGCATTATGCTGAGTGAATTAACACAGTCTCATAAGGAAAATACTGCATAAGACCATTATTGTGAAAATAGAAGGATAACTAGTAAAACATGTATGGGCACTCAAGGAGAGGAGGGTTGAGGATGGGAGGGGTGAAACCACAGGATTTCACAGTATGGTGGGTGAAAGAAAAGGTGGAAGTAATGGGAAGGATCTGAGAGAAAAGACAGGGTAATGATGGCCAAGGTCAAATGGTGATTAATTTTTGTAAAACATAATGCATGAGAATGATTGTGTGCAAGCCAGTGCGAATGAAGAATAGTGTGAAACACAATGCGTATAAACTTTGTAAGTAAAGCAATTTCAGAAAAAAAAGTAAAGCAAGCAAATAAGAAAACCCATATGCAACACTAAAGTGTGAACTACAGCTCATTATGGAGATGGCACAGGACCTGACAGATTTTGTCCCATGGTGCTTGGAGTTGTCATAAATCAGGAAATGATTTAATGGCAGCTAACAACAATTATTATAGAAGAGAGAGAGAGAGAGAGAGAGAGAGAGAGAGAGAGAGAGAGAGAGAGAGAGAATATGTAATGGAAACAAAGTAAATACATTTATTGGCAAAAAATAAAATGCTGATTCTCTACCATACTAGACTCCTGTAGATTTTGTCTCTAGAACTTGTTATATTAGAGGTTCTTTTGGTAGCTTAATGATAAGGAATTGTGTTGCCAAAGCAAAGGTATGCAGTTTGAATTTACCAGCTCTGCCATGGAAAAAGGCACAGGATAGAGCAGGGTTTAGAGCTGTTGTACATAGAGTCACTATGAGTCACAGGTGGCTCGACAGCAGGGTTTAGAGCTGTTGTACATAGAGTCACTATGAGTCACAGATGGCTCGACAGCACGTAACAACAACAGCCATGGAAAAAAGATAGGCCTTCTCTTCCCATACAATTTATTGCTTCTGAAAACCCACTTGAGAATCAACTAGGGATTGTTTCCAACTCAAAGGTACAAAAAAACCAGAACATGGATGTCACCTGGTGACTGAAGAAGGCCAACACACAAAATGTGACTTTAACAGAAGTCTGGACCTTACTTGTCTTACGTGTCTTTTTATATATTTTGGCCCTTGGCTGTATCACTCAGTGATCAGCTTTTATTAGAACTCTTTGTTACATCTAGAAAGTTGAGTAACTATTAGTTGTTTTCAGAGGAAACGAGAAAGGGTAGGAGGATTCAGAGATGATTTTAGAAGAAGAAAAATAAACACCCTTATTAGGCTCCCTACAAAATCATTCCTAATCCTATTTTGTCTTACCTCCAGTATTTGTCATCTACAAAAAAGTAGGTTTTATTTTTCTTATCAGAAACAGCTGCATCAATTTTCTCAACGGTTGGAGGAAAGCCTAGCATGTGGATGCTTTTTGGATAACCTGCTTGCAGCACATTTCCATTACTGGCCCAGAACTGATTCCCTGTGAAAAATAAATTCAGAAAATTTTGAGTGAAGGCTTTTGGTTTTAGAAATTACTTTAACATGTTATTTAATTAAGATAAAATTTTAGTTTTCATTCCAACTAAGACTCCAAATAGCAGGTTATTAATAAATACACTTTGGCAATTAATTAATTAATTAATCCATTAATCCATGAAAGAAGATGCATTATTATACATGAATTATAGTCACCAATCTTAGGTGTTTTTTTCCCAATTCTGGATGGCGTCTTAATCTAAATTTATAACCTAGATTTTCTTGTCAAGCTTCATATCTACATGTCAGCTGCTTACTGGACACTTCCTCTTGAAATTTGCCATAATCACCAAGTAAAATCTGTGTTGCTTCTCTGGAATCCACTCAAGCTTGGGGAAATTAGGATCATGTTCTGCCATCAGTTTCTTTGTTTTATTTTCTTCTCTTCCTGTCTCCCCAAGTCTGAATTGCTTCCTTATATTTGTGGCCAGCCAATCTAAAATGCCAATCTATTGTGTATTTCTCTTGTTTTGACTATTCTAGATGATTTGTGCTCATATGAGCAGTTAAAGAGAAACCTTTTTTTTCTTTGTTGTGTACCATCAAATCGGATCCGACTGGCAGAGGAGATCGCCCCTCCTTCTCCAGCAGATCATCTGGCGGATTTGAAACTCGTGCCTTCGGGATTGCAGGGCAGCCTCTTGCCACAAGGCCACCTGAGCTCCCTTAACCCTTACTTTTGAGCAGTAGCTTTTATGTTGAAGAACTTCCTACTTTCTGCATGTTTTCTTCTTGCTACATGGGAAAGCTCTTCTCTCTCTCTCCCCCCCCCTTTTTTTTTTAGCTTCATGCCATGTTATAACCTCTTTTAGGGAGTCTCTGATTAGTCTTGGGTTCCTCTGAATTTGCACAGACCCTAGAATCGCTCAATTCCATCATTGCTAACCACATAGCTGTGTATCTCCAGTTTTATTCCACCAGCATCTTTACAGAAGAAAAATAAGCAGTCTCCTCCTATTAAGAGTTCTAGCCTCAGAAACCCAATGGAAGTTTGCTCTCAGTTGACTTTGCCTCAGTGGCAGGAAGTTAGTGCTGATGACGTCCGTTCTGTTTCCTCTCTAAAATATGAGCCCCTTTAGTTATAATCTCTATTGACTAGCACAGCACCTAGAACATAGTAAAACTTCCCAGACAAACAAACACTAATGGACAGTAGCAGTGATTTACAGTGATTTATAGTGATATAATACTTTATAATTTATCGTGAAATTTTGCATGTTTCATTTAATCCTAAGAAAGAAAAAAATTAAGTCACCAGAAATGAATATTAAAAATTTAAAATCCCTATAGCGTTAGACATTTATAAACTCTGCAAATAATTTATAATTCAGTGGGGGAAAATAAGGTGGAAATTTTCAAAATTCAAGCATTAATAATGAAAATATTACATAACAAAACTTGCAGTCTTGGAAATTACATAAAGCAAAACTAGAAAGAAAGAAGCATTTATAAGCTTAAACATTCACATTAAAAAGGAAGAACAGGCTTAATATTAGGCCCAATAGAGACTGAGGGAACAAACCCCAAGACTGTCAGCCTTGGAACCTGGAACAAAAATTGCCTCTTTGGCTCAACTTGTAACCAAACAATTAATGCACCTAGAAGATAAATAATATCAGAAGAGAGGCATTCAGAATAATCAACTAGGTAAGATCAAAAAGGCTGGAACCACTCAAGAGATAAAGCTCAGAAGCAGAAAAGGTAAGATAGGATTAATAGAAACAGGAATCACAGGTGAAATGAGAAGAGTGTGATCACATATTTTAATTAATGCCATAAACTAAAGGACTTGTAACTAAATGGTGAATGAAAAAAGCAATTGACTTTTCAACTTTCACTCAAACTACAATGAAGCAAATAACAAAATTTCTATTTTTCCTTCCTAAAAAAGAATTATGAAAGAAGAAAAGCTGCAACTTAATGAGGTAAATATTAAACCTATGAAGGTTATAAGTATTTTGGATAGATGTTAAATTAAATGAAAAATGAAACTATCATGAAATAAAAAGTTCATTCTTTATAAAGTTTACAAAATATTTTATTAAAGAGATAGTTCTATTAGTCAGTTTGTTAGTCCTTGCTTTAATACTGGTAAACTCTGTTTGGATAAAATTTTAGGCTGTTAACTGAAAGACTGGTGGTTCAAACCCATCAGTAGATTCTCAAAAGAAAGATTTGTCAACCTGCTTCCATCAAGATGACGGCTTTGGAAATTCTACTGGCTAGTTCTACTCTAGCATATGCGGTCACTATGAGTAGGAATAAACTATTGTTAACTATCTGATGGGGTCCTGGTAAGGATCTGCACTTTAATCTTGAAGGGACAAGGCTCAAATCCACTAGTTAGTCCACAAAAGAATGATGGAGCATCTACTCCCGTGCAGTTAGCTGCCACTGGAAACCCACTGGAGGATTGGCTATGAATTTGTTCCAACTCCACTACACACAATAACAAAAACTACATGGTACCTTAATGCGTAACCTTCAAAGATTAACTTTATTACCGTACAGCACAACTCCTTACCGTATAGGCCACAAGACCTCTATTATGTAACAAAGTGTGTGTGTTCTTTAATCCTTATCCAGTCCTTTTGTTTTTTTCAGAAAAAATAATGGAGCCATTTATCAAGTTTAGGAAATATTTTAGGATTTTCATCAAAATTGCCTTGTGTCTACAAATATTTTATTATATTGAAGCTTTTCTACCTATGAATATACATTTTTAATCTGTTATTTAAGTCCCACTGAATAGTTTTAAATGAAGCATATAATGTTCTATGTAGACATTTAATTTAAATAGTAGTAGCACTAGGAGAAAAATTAAAAAGAAATTCATAAAACACTTAAAAGAAAATTCATGTCTTAATGAAATTTTTGCAACAATATTTCTTTCAACAACAGGGACGACATTCTTATGTAATATTCACCTTTAAATAGAAAGACAATATCCTTGACCTCAACTTCATATGCAGCATCCAATTTTGACGGAAGAGAGGGCCAATATAAGGAAATTGAAAACAATATAGGTTTATGATTCATGCGAATTTTTCGCCAATAATATCTGTAATACATAAAAAGGAGTTGAAGATGTCATCCTTCATTAGTTATTTGTGAAGATGAGGAAATGAGCCTAATTTTTTGTCTGTCACTTTTCTTAAGACTGAATTGAATTCTAGGTCTCTAGGATCTTCAACAACAGTGTTATTATTAACTTGGTTTATGTTCTAAAGCCTATATCAATATACATATAATGCACTCATTCATACACAGCAGAAAAGATCATATTTATATTTGCATATGAGTTAATCATAATTGGAAATATACAAAGGAATAAGAAGAATATGTTGAGATAAAAAGGGATTTGCCTTTTGACTATTTCCGGCTTTGATTCTATATTTTGTCATAAGCATCCATCATTCTTTTCCAAAATGAATAAATTGGTGGAGTTGCATTTAATAGACAATGTGGAGCTACTGATGGCTTTTTAAAGAAATTTATTGTTAATGATACATAAAGAGATAATTATTCATTTATTCTAATCATCTATTAAATGTGCCAGGTCTATTCCAGGTTTGGAGAATATGTAAGTGAACCAAACAGATAAAAAAATTCCCATATTTATAGACTTTATATTACATTAACCAAAAATCATACTTGGTAAGTCAGTTAAAAAAATTACCTGAACAATATTAAGAGGTAAAAAACACAATGAGAATTAGATCTGAATGATTTAAAACCTTAGAGGAAACATTTTATTTAACATATCTGTCAAGTTTTCATTGTTTTTTAATCTATGCATTGTAGGGCAAAAGAATAATAATTTTAAGAATCATATCAACTCATTGCTGCTGAGTCAAAACAAACTAGCTAATCATCCATTAGGTTTTGAAAGCTATCAATTGCAGAAGACTACCCAGCTTTCTTCCTGGGGACTGCTGGTTAATACGAACTGCCAGAGAGCCATGGTCTGTGGGTTAGAGGTGCAATTCTCTATAGAATAGACAAGGGGGGAAAAGCCAACTTTCCAGTCTCACCTATCTTTAAAGAAGAGAATTTCCCCTCTCAAAGTGCTGACTGCATCAAAGGACAAGTCAGGGTCGCACACAGATGGTGCCTTAGATTTTGAACGAACGGGTTTCACGGGCACCGTGGTTTTATCAGAGGAGGGAGGTGGAGGTCCTAAAAGAGAACAAATGAATGAATATAAACCTTACAAGAAGTGGGAAGCTATGTTAATCACTATGTCTTTTAAGCATTCTCAAAGTGCTCTGAGTTGAAATGTCTTGTAGCATTTCAAGTTTCCTGAAAACCACCATTGTTTCCCTGTAGCATCACACGCCTTATTTTTTCCGATATCACTCACCATAGAGGGATTGAATGCCATTTACATCAGTCTGAGAAAGGTGCAAGTGGAAATGGTCTGCAAGTTTATTGTAGAAAGGCTTCATCACAGCTTTGGGGTCATCTGAATGAAAGAGACCCAGGGAATGGCCAACTTCATGAGCAGCCACAAAGAATAATTTGGTCCCTGTGTGAAAAATCATAAACATTCAGCTATTTAGCACATAAATGTACATACATAATGCATGGTAGCTGTACAGGCCACACTTAGAATTCCACAATGACTTCTTACTTGTGCCACAAATATGTTTTTAAGATTGACTTGCAGACATGATGAACCTCTTCTTTTGCTATTTAGTATCTCTGAAAACCCACCGAAGGATCAACTCTGGGTCATTTTCAACTTGATGTACAACGACCACCACCTGTTGTTGCTTATACAAGATAATCTGAGGGCTTTATTTTAGTTCCATATTTGAAGTGTTTCTTAAGGCAATCTTCTCAATGACACACAGATAGACATTTCTCTGGTACTCCCTGCTTTCAGCCAAGATCCATCTGACATTAGCTATAATATCCTTAGTGCCATGATCTCTTCTAAATCGAGCCTGCACTTCAGGCAGTTCTCTGTTGACGTGCTGTTCCAGCCGTTTTTGGATGATCTTCAGCAGAATCTTGATTGCATGTTATCAATGATATTTTTTTATAATTTTCACACTCTTTTGGATCACCTTTCTTTGGAATTCGAACAAATATAGATCTCTTCCAGTCGTAGGCCAGGTGGATTGTCCTCCAGATTTCATTACACAACTTGGTGAATATGTCCAGGGCAGCATCTGTTTGTTGAAATATGTCAATCAGCATACCATCAACTACTGGGGTCTTGTTTTTTTTGCCAATTCTTTCAAAGAACCTGAACTTCCTCCTTCATCACCACAGGCTCTTGCTTATATGTTGTTTCATTAAATTCTTCTGTGCCCACCAAGTCCTTTTGGTACAGTGACTCTGTATACTCTTTCCATCTTTTTTTAATGCTTCCTGCATCTTTTAATATTCTGCCCAAAGCATCCTTAAGTATTGCAACTTGAGGTTTGGATTTGTTCTTCTATTCCTTGGACTAGGAGGCAGTAGTCAGAACAGAGCAAGGAAACACTGCATGGTTCAAAATTGGGAAAGGTATGCATCAAGGATGTGTCCTATCTCCATATCTTTTCAATCTATTTGCAGAACAGATTTTCTGGGAGGCTGGGCTTTATGAGGAGAAGTGTGACATCAGGATTGGAGGTAGACTTATCAACAATCTGTGTTGTGTAGATGACACAACCTAGATTGCTGAAACTGAGGAGGGCCTGAAGCCCTTGCTGCAGAAAGTCAAGAATTGCAACCTTCAGTATGGACTGAGGATCAATATCAAGAAAAAAAAGATTCTCACCACTGGGCCTATTGGCAGCATGATGAAAGATGGCGAAGAGATTGAGATTGTTGACAGCTGCAATTTGCTTGGCTCTACAATCAGCACTCTTGGTACCAGTAGCCAGGACATTAAAAGATGAATTGCATTGGGAAAGTCTGCTGTCAGAGACCTCTCCAAGGTATTGAGGAGCAACAATATCAGTCTGGAGACTAAGGTGCACCTGGTACAGGTCATGGTCTTTGCCATTACTTGCTATGCTTCAGAGAGCTGTATAATTACTAAGGATGATAGAAGGAGAGTTGATACCTTTGAGCTTTTGTGCTGGAGAAGAGTATTGAATATACCATGGACTGCTAGGAGAACAAACAAGTTCATCCTGGAGAGGGTGAAGCGAGGCTGCTTCTTGGAGTCAAGGATTCTAAAACTTCATCTGACATACTTTGGACATGTTGCAAGGAAGGACCAGTACTTGGAGAGGGAGGTCATACGTGGGAGGGTGGAGGGACAGTGCAGGACAGGACGACCCTAGATGAGGTGGATTGATTCTGTCACTGGGGTAATGGGGATAGACGTGTTGGAGACAACAAGATTGGCAAGGAATAGAGCAGGGATTAGGGCTGTTGTACATAGGGTTGCTATGAGTCGCAAGTGACTCGATGGCAAATAATAACAATAACAACTTAAGACAATAGTTTCAGGAAATCTTGTAGTCCCACCCTCAACAAGCCAGTAAGTCTGTTTATTTGTTGTTTGGTGAGGGGTTTGGGTTTTTGGTGTTTTTTTTTAAAGGAACATAAGGTTCTATTCCACACTCTTCTCCCATTCTCTCAGGCTCCATCTATTTTGGTCCTTTTAACAGTGGTCAGTGGTGGTAGTCAGCACCATCTAGCTCTTTTGGCCTCAAGGTATGGAAGGCCATGGCTTGTGTAGAATATTTGTTTTATAGACAAGATTCTACTTTGAGTCTTCAATCTATTATTTCCCCTCTGCTTCAGATGAATAGAGAACAACAGTTACACAGTGGCTAACGGGCTTCTATGAATTCAGACTATTTTTCAAACTCTTAAGCTACAAAACTGTTATTTCTAGTAGACATTTAACCTGAGTTGTTCTACATGCTCTTCATCATAATAAATTAATTTTTGGCAGTTAAAACTTCTCTGTAATAGGTACAATTGGATATACACATAAAATAGCCACGTGACTCATAACTGTTTTCAGAAACATAAAGATAGCTGGATACAACTTGTCTTTATATTATAAAGAAAGTCTTATTGAAATCAGTAATAGAATTAGTTTTGCCAAGACTCTAAGCAATTATTGTAAAGGTAATTTTTCAGATAAAGTAGGTTTTCCTATGCAACCTGAACATCATTTATGAAATATCTATAATGATAACAAGGATTTCAACCAATCTCAGAAGTAGCAACTGTCTCAATGAAATGTTTATAAATTTTTATAACCATTTCAAAAATGTATGTATCTATATAATAACTTACAATCAATTTTAGTCACAATATAGAGTTTGGACATGCATAACTATACATATAATACTATATATAATACTAATAATATTAATAATAATAATTAATAATAATATTGAACCTCTCTGATGGTCCAATCCACCAGCAGTGCCATGGAGGAAAGATGAAAAATCTCCTGTACAATGTATAGCCTCCTGAAAACCTATTGGAGGGACAGCTCTGAAGGGATTATAACTTGATGGTAATGAGCTGAGTGTTTATATACTTATAATGACTCATAGCTGACCCTTCACTATTCTCCTACAGAGCAGCTGATTTGTATTCAAACCGTATGCCTTTGGACTGGCAATTCCTTAAGTTACCGGATCTCCATAATTGAAATAAACTTGAATGGTACATATTGTGCTTGAAATAATATGCAGGAAAGAGGAAAAAAGGCAGACATTTTCTAAAAGTAAGTTTTGAAACAAAGAGTATTCTGGTTACCACTGAAATAATCACAAATTCCAGCCAATTAAGACATTTCTTTTCCCACTTATTCTAGATATTTAAATTCTTCCTTGACAGAGACAAGGATAAACTCTGAAATTACTCTGAGAGATTTATGACTCACCTGAATTATCCTCTGCCCATTGTTCATCATCGTAAAAATGAATGTCTCCATATAACCCTTCTCCTGGTGGATAGGCATGAGCCTTACCAAATTCAGATGCGTAATGAGGTAAAAAGACATCTTTATGACCTAATGGAAAAATTTTCATATTAGAAAGATGAGTACATAGAATTTTTTTTTGGTGTTTTCTAATAAAAATGTCATCTGATAAATCTGTGTGTCTATTTTAAAAATTATTTTTATATTTATTGGTTGGGTTTTTGTTTTTTACCTCTACTCATAAAAGAGATCATTATGTCCGCCTCTCCTTCATAAATTCTGGAGAATGTGAGAGGAGTCACCTCCTCCCAGAGTTTCAGAGCCCTCTCAATGGCAGAATCAGTAGTATCTCTTGACAGCTTCGGTATATAGTTTACAATCCTGTAAAAGAAACGTAGAGACATGTTCTTCTGTGACAATGAAATTGTGTTTTTACCTTATGTGAATACCTCTTTGGACACATTACCTGTAAGTAAGGTTATTTTTCTTCCACTTGGGTGAGCAAGGAAAGACACTGCAGTTACTAATGGTGGAGACTCCACATATGGGCTTACGCATCACCTCCAGATTGTCCGCATCCATATTCTCAGCCACTGGCAACCCAAAGGACTGCTGCATTTGTTGGATATTTTTAACCATGACACTGCTGTCATTTCTCCTCATATCTTTTCCAAGATTATAGTCATTTTCTAGGTATTTCTAATAGAATAAAAAAACCATAAATATCAGGTAATTTTTGCATGTCTAGAGCTGCCCCAATTTCATATTATGTTTTATTTATTCTGTAGCTGAAACAAAAGTAAATAGCACACTTAATTTGATTTTTTAATTATGAATCCTGTTTTTATTGTTTTATCCTGGTGGTTTTGTGGTTGATGATAGGTTTCACCAAGTCAACTCACACAAGACCCTATGAACAACGCATTTGAACCTTCCCTATCCTATGCTCCTGTCCTTTTTTGGTACTAATTATTACATTACATAAAGTTTGCCAAGAAAGTAAGGATATGAAGTTGAGAATTTAGATTGGCATATTTTTTAAAAAGGAACAAAATTAGTGAGTGAGTTTACCCAACTTTTCCCATTTTAATTTGTTTGTATAAAACTATCTAAGAATGCATAACACAAATTCTGCTGCCCAAACATGATAAAAAAATAACAGAAACATCATTAGTTTATATCAGTGGAATACCAAACATGCCCTCAGGATTCCTGTAATTATTTTAACTGAAGAAATCGAACAGCTAGAAAAGTCATATGTTTTCCATTTATTCTTTTTATTAAGTTTCAAAGGTATTACTACATTTTACAATCACCTTAAGTAATTATATTTTCTACCTAGGATATTTTCTTTTGGTCTCTCTCTTTAGACAAAAGAAGCTTTTACTTCTAGTACTTCAATATTCTCTGATCCTAAATTATCCCAGCACAATAACTTTCAATCTCAAGTCATTCTCCTTTGTATTAGAAAATAAAATAAGCACACTTATTTCTCCACTTGGGCTGGTTATAGTTGTTATAGTGTCTATCTCTAATTACCTGGACAAAATCCATGTTTGGTTCTTCTTTCACTGTCCTGTCAAGTGGATAACCGAAGCAAAGTGGTAGATATAATAACACAAAGATGATAAGCTGCTCCGTTCTCATTGTCTTCACTAAAAGAAGCCACCTTCTCTGTCTATTGCCTTTTTATCTCTATGTTCTAGTCACTGGACTTATATAGAGTGGTAACTCTTAGATCATGAAGTGTGTTAGGTGACTCATGTGTATGTGTTTGTTTGTGAGAGAGAGTGTGTGTGGTTGTGGTTTTTTTTTAATCTGAATAACATAAAGAAAAGTCACCAAAATTCAATCTGAAAATGATGCAAACTTTATTAAAAACTTTCCTTGACCTTCTCAATTTGCATAAAAGAACCTCTAGGAAATGGCTTTCATATTTACAAAGAGGACAAGATAATTTATGTTTGTGTGTTTATTGAGAGAAAAGTTGACAAGTCTGGTAAAAGATCAAAAGATCTTACTTTCCTCAGGATAGAAGAAAGAAGGAGAGTCATGAAGAGAATATGTAACTATTCCTTTCAAACAACTGCCTCCTTTGTTATGAGAACAGAATTGCCTTGGGGCCCAGCCGTTGTTACTGAACATTTTGATCAAAGATCCTATAAAAGAATCTGAATCAAAAAAGGGAAAATGCAGGACATAATTTAAAATTCTCATGGACTTTAGATTTCTGAAGTCATGGATGGTGAATGCTGAACAAACTCTACTATATCTTAAACATGTACTTTCAAGTGATTGGGGACTGAACATAAGTGTGCAGGAATGTTCCCCTTGGCGTTACACACTATCTCCACACCACTTGAGGTTGATTGATTAGAATATGGTCTTCAGAAATTTGAGGCTCTTGTTACTTCTTATGCATCTACAAGTAGGACATTGAATGACAGAAGTAACATCAACACCTTTGAATTCTGGTATTGGAGAGGAGTATTGAATGTCCCATGGACTTCCAAAAGAACAAACAAGTCTGTCTCAGAGGAAGTGCAACTATGGTGGATGCTTCTTAGAGGCAAGAACAGAGAAATTTTGTCTCACATACTTTGGGCATATTGTCAGGAGGAGTCAGTCTTGGAAAAAGACATCATTCTGACAAAGGTGGAAAGTCAGAGAAATAGACTAAGGCATTCAATAAGATGGACACAAACAGAGGTATGTACATCAGTGTTCATAGCAACGTTATTCACAATCACAGGAACACAGAAACACCCCAAATGTTCAACCAAAATCAAATGGATTGAGAAATAGTGGAACATTCACAAAATGGAATACTATGCAGCACTCAGGAGCAATGATTTAGAAAATTGCTACATAACTTGAGAGAGACCGGAAAGCATTATGTTGAGTGAACTAACTTAGACTCATAAGGACAAATATTGCATAAGACCGTTATTATAAAAGTAAAAGGATAACTAATAAACCTGTATTGGGATCCAAGGGAGGAAAAGGTAGGAACAGAGGGTGAGGGTGGACAGGGGGACATCATAGGGTGGCACAATTTGGTGGTGGGAGGGAGTCAATAAGAGAAATTAGAACAATGTGGTGGGGATATGGAAAGACAAGTAATGGTGAGCATCTAAAACAATCAATGGAATGATTGTATGAAGTACACTTGAAAGAAGAATGATGTGAACAATGTATACACATTTCTGTATACAAACCGACAGAAAATATTTCAAAAAACCCAACCAAACAAAAAAGATGGATTGACATAGTGACCATAACAGTGGGTTTGAACATATTCTGCAGATGGTACGAGAAAAGGTAAGGTGAAGGTCTGTTGCTCACAGGTTCGCTATGAGTTGTAGAAACTTCATGGCATTAACTACAAAAACAAATCCCTTTTATCATACTGATCACTGATTCAGACAAGTCAACTTTTGGCAAGGATTTGCTGGATGGAATGGAGGAAAAGGAAATCAGTTTGAAAATTAGAAGGCTGGGGTTTTACAGTCATATTCAAAGTCAGTGGAGTGATTTTAATACATGCATGGTATTTGAAAGTCATTCATTTCTCTCAACCATAATAATATGGTGGATATAAAGTCATTCATTAGGGAGCTCTCGGGGTGTGTTTCTTAGGGAATTGTACTGATAATGCAAAAATAAGACTTTTTCTGATCATTCTAAACCACCAGTGCCTCAGCAGGAGAAAGATAAGTAATCTTTCCCTGTGTGTTACAGCCTCTGAAAACCTGCTGGCGGGTCAGCTATACGTCATTTCTGACTCAAGAACAAAAAGAGAAGCAAAACTTCCTTCAGAGGGCTGTCAGGATTACGTGACATGCTCCTTGCCCCTTGAGCCCAGTATGACTCAGAGACCCTGTCCTATGCTGTGCCATCCTCACAATTTCAGACACACTTGAATCCATTGCTGCACTGTGTAATCTATAAGGTTGAGAGTCTTTTTCTCTTTTAGCAACCCTCCCACCTCCCATGCATGATGTCCCCTTCCAAGGAATAGCTTCTCCTATCAACATGCCCAAAGTAATTGAAATGAAGCTTTTATCTACTTGGCCTCCAAGGAGGACTCTGGCAGAATATTCTCCAAGAAATATCTGTTTGTTCTTTTGAAAGTCCATAGGATATTCAGTAATTTTCTCCATTACCAGGTTTCAAAGGCACCAATTTAACTTCTGTCGTCCTTATTCATTGCCCAGCTACAAGCAGCATAGTATCTTGCTTAGTGTTCCTCACTTAATGTTCTATAAATATTATTCCTATTTATTTTAATGTCTATTTTATTGTTTGATTTCTTATAGTTTTCTAAAACAAGATTTGAAGGATTTTATATAATAAAGGTAAGAAAAAGGGGTAGTATTAATAAGTTAAAGATTATACAAACACATGCTAAAAAATCCTAATGTGTATAATAAAAGTATAATAAATAGTGATATTCCAGGACTGGACAATGGAAATAGTTCATGCTTGGTAGAAGCAATGAGGGAAACCATTACTAAATACAGAATTTGAAACAATATTAAGAGGAACTAAAATGTGATATACTTTTGTTTTGCTATCATGAAATTGTAGTTCTAAAGAATGTTGGTAATAAAATATTCCTTGTCAAAAAAATATTTTGTTGTTCTAAGTTTTAGCTACCTAGTGTGGCCTTCCATTCCTACCATGTATAAATTCAATTACATACACTCCTTTACACAGAATGTAACCTAAAAAAGTTGCTACTAGTTTCATTTCAACTGGACACAGTTTTCAAATTAATAGTCTGTTCACTTATTTCACATTTTAAACTCCTAAAACACAAAAAATTTAATAGACTGAAAGAATTAAACTCAAGTCACTATTTTTGTTTTTATAAATATTAAATATCACCATTTGTTTTAAAAACACTCTTTTATTTAACTTTTTATTGTGGTTTCAGAAAAATTTTAAAGAACCAGTTGATTTTAATGGTTTATGCATACTTTGTTTCATGATATTAATTTCAGCCATGATGATGCAAAACCAGTCTTTCAGTTTTCTTTCTGGGTTTACTGTTTATGTTTCTAATTATTTTCCAATTCTCTTTTTCTCTGAGGTTTCTCCTCAGGACAGTGTTCTTTGTTGTTGTTGTTTTGTTTTGTTTTTTTATTTTCATCTCCTATGGTTAATTATTCTAAGAAGTGTGTGAGTACCTACCTCTCTGGTGTTATTGTTGTTGTTGTTAGGTGCCATCAAGTTGCCTGCAACCAATAGCGACCCTATATACTGCACCTCTGAAACCTGGCCTGTACCGAACCAGTACTGACTCCAACACACTGTATCGGTCCATCTCATCCGGGGTCTTCCTCTCCTGCACTGTCCTTCCACCCTTCCGAGCATGATGTCATTCTCCAAGGATTGGTCCCTCCTGGCCTCAGGCCCAAAGTATGTGAGATGAAGCTGCAAAATCCTAGTTTCCAAGGAGACACTTGGTTTCACCCTCTCCAAGACAGACTTATTTGTTTTCTTGGCAGTTCAAGACTTCTTCAGCACCACAACTGGAAAGTGTTGATGTTCCCTGACCAGGAAGAAGACACAGATATACACAGAAACCTCCTCTCCACTTCAACATAAGTACACAAGAGCCTACCTAAACTCTTTATTGGTCTGGTTTGTACCCTCCATAAATGGGCCTAACTTTTCTCTATCTTATCCTGCTCTCCTCTCAACTTTCTTACTTGTCTCAAAGGTCGAAGGCCATTTGCCATTTGAATCCAACAACATCCAACACCGGCCTCAATTCTCAAACACCTAAAGGTTTCACTCCAATTGAACTAAGAACCCAAAGTCACTCTCTGAGGTGCCCAAGGACTGATCACTCCCCTTTCTGTTATCCCTTTCCCTCCTCTGGGCTTCGGGCCCCTCCTGACACTTGATGCAATTGAATTCCTCTGATTCTGCCAGATTCTACATGTCCCCAGCTCTATTTTACCTCAGTATGGAAGGCAGAGTGGTCCCAGGGACAGTCCTTTGTTCTGCCTCCTCTAAAACTTGAGCACTTTCAGCATTATGGAAAATTTGAAACATTCTCAAATTTCGTATCCTAAATTTGGCTTGTTGGATCCATCTGCCCTTCAAAACATAGCTACTGAAATAGCAAATGGTCAGAGGTTACCTGTACTCAAACTTTCTTTACTATCCACTTTCATGTTTCTCTCTCTCTGCTTATCCTACTCAACATTTGAGCTCTTCATGATTAACCTCCTAGTTAAAAATAAATCTTTTTTTTTTCATTTTCTTGAGAACCGACGTTTATTCAAAGTTATGGAATACAGAAAGACTAGTGCTGTCATTTTTAAAGTTCTTTATGTTCAGGAGTTCCTATGTTTTGTTTTGTTTTAATTACACTAGTATATTTACAAAATTTAAATACATTGTTTTGCAGAACAGATTCTTCCAATTTCTCTCACCCATCCCACCCAGCAAATTGTACAACTCCATGATTAACCCTCCCTCCCTTTTGCGACTATCTCTAGGTTATTAATTGGGTAAGCAATATATTCTGGGTTTTTTAGAAGGCTTGTTTTGTTTTTCCCAATTTTTTTTATGCTGCCTGCTATTTTCTTGACATTATATGAAATTTTTCTTTGTTAAGTAATTTCTATTCAGTCTTTAGGTTGTTGGTAGCTCTTTACCATATGAAATGATTACTTCAATGCAGGTTGAAAATGTTTTCCTTATTGGGAAGGAAAGCTTGTTCCATTGGAGATCCTTTTGGTCTTGGGCAACAAGAAAGTTTGCCTTTCCTAAAGTCCTTCAAGTCCTCTCTGGTCTGCAGAGCAGCCCCACAGGAATCTCTTCCAAGTGCAATCAGCCTGTCCTAAAGTCTGTGATTGCCTTTATGTTTGGAGATGTGACCAGGTTCCCTAATTGATGCAGTGTCCTGTTTTTTTGTTTTGTTTTGTTTTTTTGTTATCAGACACCTAGTAATGCTGTTGTTTTCTTTATTACATTTTTAAAATAAGGAAAATTATATTTTTCTATATACATATATATGGAAAATAGAATTGATACTAAAAAAGGAAGGATCAATTCTAGAAGCTCCAATCATATTGCATAACAAGAATACCAAGCAATGTCCATGTCTTTCTCCCTTTGGATGAAAACCTGTACTTTGCCCAGACAGGTGTATTAGGCGGCATTCTCACGTTCCCAATGAGCCTGCTTCTTCATGGCCTCACACTCTGGCCTCTGCTCCTTGTTGTTGGGATACAGTTTGTTTTTATGGGATGTGCAGGCAGGTCCTCCAGGTACCTCAATGTGCCCTCTATTGTCATGCACATCCATGGTGTCTTTCCTAAAGTCTGCTTTTACCTTGATGGTTGCCCATTGTCCTTGATAGTCCTTTGACTTTAGACCAGCTTCCCTAACTGATGCAGTTTCTCCAGGTTGTTGTTGTTGTTATGTGCCATTGAATAGCCTGTAACCCATAGCGACCCTATGTCTAGCACCTCTGAAGCCCGCCTTGTCCTGAGCCAGTCTCACTGACTCTGACACACCTATCCTCATTGCCATTGTTACTGTATCAATCCATCTCATTGGGGTCTTCCTCTCCTGTTCTGTCCCTCCAACATTCCAAGTATGATATCCTTCTCCAAGGATTGATCCTTCCTGGCCACATGCCCAAAGCATGTGAGGCGAAGCTTCAAAATCCTAGCCTCCAAGGAGAAACTTGGTTTCACCTTCTCCAAGACAGACCTGTTTGTTTTCTTGGCCATCCATGGTATGTTCAAGACTCTTCTCCAGTACCACAACTCAAAGGCATCAATTCTTCTGTCATCATTGTCCAGCTCTTTGATGCATATAGCAAATAATTGTGAAGACTATGGAATGAATCAGGTACACCTCAGTCTCTAGACTGACATCATTACTTCTCAGTACTCTGGAAAGGTCCCTGACACCAGATTTATCTAATGCAATTCTTTTGATTTTGACTGTGGAGCCGAGCAAGCTGTGACTCTTAACAAACTCTCTCTCTTCTCCATCCATCATGGTGCTGTTAATTGGCCCAATGGTGAGAATCTCAGTCTTCTTGATGTTGAGCTTCAATCCATATTGAAGACTACAGTCCTTTGTCTACAGCAAGTGTTTCAGCTCCTCCTCAGCTTCAGCAAGCAAGGTTGTGTCATCTGCATAATGTAAGTTGGTAAAGTTCCTCCAATCCTGTTGCCACATTTCTCCTCATAAAGCCCAGTCTCCTGCACGGTCTCTTATGCATATTGATTGAAAAGGTAAGGAGACAAGATGTGTCTCTAATACACTCCCTTCTTGATTTTGAACCATGCAGTGTTTCCCCGCTCTGTTCTGAGGACTGCTTCCTGATCCAAGTATAGGTTTCACATGAGCACATTCTCCTCAAGGTTAACCACAATTTGTGGGAATCAAATATTTTTGGGAGAAGGCCCAAACTTCCCAGAATCCTGGGATCCTCCCCACTCTGGGTGCTTGGGGTGAGGGGATGTATGTGGGGGCGTGAGGGGGAGAGGAGGAGCCTGATTGATAAAGCTGTAGAAAAAAAGGCATTGGTGGGTTATATCGTGGGTCCTTGGCATTCAGTCCTCTTGTGCTTTCTCCTCCGTTTCTTGGCTTTGGTCTTGGTTTTGGTCTTGGGGGTACAGGGCTTCATCATGAGAATGGTTTCTTGGCCCTGGTGGGCCTTGATGCAGTGCCTCGGTCACATGCTCCCCAGTTCTCAAACTTGTACTTGGAATCAGCTCCAAACTCCTTCTTCCAGTTAGTTGAGTGGCACCCTGCACCAGATGCCCTCACGGAAACTCACTCTGCAGTCCTTGTTGCTGGGGATACAGGGCCCCGAGGCCCACTCTGTGCATTCGCTCCCTGGGCCGCCTTTCTTTACTTTATCTTTCTTTTTGGCTGCCCAGAAGCGAATGCCAATAGTGTGAGAAAGGCAAGGAGGAAGGCTGTATCTCTCTGGATTCAGATGGTGTTTTGCTCCCTCCTACGCCCAGTCCCAAGGTGGGCCTTTTTGATTAACTGATGGTTGGAGTCACTTACTATGCATCTAAAAGCTGCACAATGTATAAAGATGACAGAAGAATTGACATCTTTGAACTGTGCTGTTTGAAAAGAGTGCTGAATATCTCCTGGACTGTGAAAAGAGCAAACATATCTTAGATGTAGAAAGTGCAGCCAGAGTATCCTTAAAGGCAAAGATGATAAAGCTTCACCTCACATATTTCAGAGTTGTTGCTAGGAGAGCTATTCCTTGGAAAGGGACATCATGCTCTCAAATATGGAAGAAAGGCCAAAGAGAGGAAGAACCTCAACCAGGTAAGTTGACACAGTGATTGCTGCAATGGGCTCGAGTGTATCAGGAAGTGTGAAGATGGTACAAGATAGGACAGAATTCAAATCTCTTGTTCATGGAATCACTACAGGTTGTACTCATCTCAGCAACACCTAACAATAACATAATCAACTGAGTAATTGCAATTATTGGTAAAGACAGAGAATTCCCTTAACCCCATAATCAACTTTCAGCTACATTCTGAAAAAAGTGAATCTCTTGGAAGGATTAATTCGGTCACCTCAAGGCCTGGGATTCTCAATTTTGAGGTGAACAGGTCTCAAAATACACTCTCCTTATAGAGAGAGCAATATGGCCAAGGAGTAGATATATAAAAAGATTGTCTAAAAGTATTATATTTTAGGGCATTATTTTTATCGTAGGAGTATGCAATGAG